GTTTTTTCTAAATCAATAAAAATCATTCGTAGATCCTCCTTATTCTCTCTTAACTTCTCTATCAAACCTCTTAATAAATGTATAGCTTACATAGTAGAACTACTCGACATAAATCCAAATTGATTATGAGAAGTCTTTCTAATACGTCTTAACCTATGTTCAATTTTAAGTATGACACATTAACTTAATTCCTCTATAATTTGTACACTCTTGTGCATCACCTTTATTCTTAAAAATGGGGACCAAAATACACTTCCTCCACTCGGTTTCTTTTTAGTTTTTAAAATAATATTGAAGAGTTTGGTAAGCCAATAAACTCCCAAATCTCCTATATATTTCCACACTTCAATTTGTATATCATGAGGTCCTATAGGCTTTCCACCATTGGTTTTCTTTAAAGCATCATCAACTTCTTTTTTACTAATGCGATGGTAAAAATAAAATATTTTATTATTATTAACGATATTAACATCACTAGGGTCGACTGTATTTTCAAAAACATTTTACTATTATTATTATCACGCCAAAAATACCACAATTTTAATTTAAAAAAAAGTGAAATATACCTTTTCATGCATAGGTAAGGTGTTATGTATGTAAAAATTGATGTTTAGGTGTTAGCTATGAATCATGGATACAGACACAGGGATACGAACATGGCACAATACAATGACACAACATAACTGCAAAAAATAGGACACGATACAACATGAACGTGGTCATATTTTTTATATTTAATTAAGAAAACCTTATAATAATAAAAACTATTTTTGGCAATAATAGAATTACATTCAAAATATCAAAAAATTACCAAAGCACTTAAAACCATTGCCATCCATGATAAAATGAAATAAAATATAAGAAAATGCCAAAATATAAAAACATAATTATTAATAATTGGAGTTAATGCATTCAATATCGGTGTCATGGTTAGTACTAGCTCCAGTGCTCTCATCAATGAAACATTCACCTTCATCAACCAAAAATACTTATTCTAAGCATGGCTCATCAAGAGAACAATTAGCGACTTCAAAAATTTCATTGTAGTTAAGGCATCTCCACCAACATTCCATAATTTTGTGCCCCTTCTGAGAATATTCTGGGCTCCTCCTAGATAGAAGACGAAGATTGACATGAACAAATGCCAAATCTTCTTCTCGTTGCAGAGTGATTTTGTTCCTCTTAGGTTAATTGATAAAAGAATATGTACTCTAGTTTCTTTCGCAACAAAGAACACGGTTGAGCCAACAATTTGAAAGCTAAACTTTGCTGTTGTGGGAAACTTGCTCCATAAATCATCCACCATGTCTTTCCATCCATAATAGCTCTAGAAGCTATGGAGACATGATCAACAAAAACACCACTAAACACAAAAAAAATAGCAAACTCCAAATTAACTTTGAACTTTCTTCAATATTTAGGAAAATCCTTTTTAAGCATTTATTTCTCTCAATTGATATCTTCATATCCTCATGTGAAGCAGCACAATTTGGAGCTTCACTTAGCCAAACATGACCGTAAGACCTAATAAAAATGCACTTATAAGTGACAAAACTAATAAAAGTTAGGATTAATAAAGAATGAACATCAAATCAAATATTACTTTGGATTGAGAGAGTGAGCTAAACAATGAAGAGTATTTGTTTTTGTTTCATCATTCTACTAAAATCTCATAAACTTTATAAAATTGGAGACTTCGTTACCTCTTTTTCCATCATGTCGATATATAATACCTTTCACCTTTTATATCATAAAATCCCACATTTAGTAGGCAAAGCAGAGACAAGATTTATCTATATAAACCAATCTCAACATGTCATATACAAATTATGTAAAATCAATAATATAATTAATTTTATCCCACCAAACATCATCGAAGATTTTTTTCCTTCACAAATTTTGCCTTGTTTATATTATCTTCATGATATATATTTCACTTGTCATTGATCACCATTAGTTGTAGCCCTTGTTTGATTGCTTTGAATCTTCTAAGCACGATTATATTTGATACAAAACTCGTCTCTGCAATGACCGATATTTTTAGCTTTAAAAACTCATTGAACTTTGATTATCTCTTTGAATGATTCATAATAATTTTTTTTTTATAAAATTGACATTTTTTGTAATGTTAATTGTCCAACCGCAATGCTCATAAGCTCTCATTTTCTTCAATATTTTTTTGATCACATATATTCTTCAATACTAAGTTCAATATATGAACAAAACCATGAGTCCAAAAAATATGAGGATATTGAGCGTCAATCGATGCTCCTGCAGCTCTGCATATAAACACATTATCAGTGATTACTTGAATCACTTTATCTGAATCTGCACTCACAAGTACTAATTTAATTTCATTGGCAATGTAAAATTTATCTTTATACGTCTCTTCATAGTTATTAGTTTTTATAAACATTGATCTAGATTTTGCGACGCCCATAAAATTAATGAGAGGGCTTCTTGGCGCATCTGTTCAACCATCACAAACTATGTAACTTCTTTCTCATTCAAAGTCTCCTTAATAGGCTTCAACATTCTCTCAACATGCTCTCTCCTTTTGAAGCAAGATTGTTCTTAACAAATTATAACGAATATATTCAGTGATTGTATTGTTGGTTGCATATGTGAACACACTAAAAAACTATGAATTTCTTATCAAATGAAATGAAAGAGCTGTAGAATAAAACGTGCGAGCAATTTCTTTATGTAAATGATTTGTATCTTACAAAGTAAATGCTATTTCAATAGCCCAATATTTTTCCTTGCTTATGCTCATAATCATAATTTTCCGCTCTAAATAGACGCTTACTTGACTGAGAGTCACACAACTGAATATAACCACTTTACCCGGGAGAATGAAGTGTACCTTTCTTAAATGCAACATTCTTCTTTTTTGGCTTTGCATCGACATCTAACTTATGTATTTTTTTTGAAATTGTGTTGAATTTACTTTGGGACATGTTCGAATACCAACTCCAAATTGTCGAAGCAAGTGTGCTCCAACCCTAGATTATGTTCTCTTGAACTTTCCTTGATAAAAATGACACTGAAATTCTATATTGTCTGCTCATCCGATTGATCCCAATTTAATTTGGTGACATGCCCATGAAGGCTGTCTCATCCTCTTTTTGATTGTTAGTGAGACTGTGGCAGCCATTATGATATTAATCCAATTGCAGAACTATAAATATCTAAATTCATTTATATATATATATATATATATATATATATCAAAATACAGATATATATATATCTATATTTATTTATATATATATATATATATATATATATATAAAATAAAGGGATAATGAGGCATTTACATACATTATACATAGCATGGAATTCTTTTGTATTTATTATCTGACACACTAATCTACTAAATGCATAGGAATTTGTTGGTATGTATGTAAATGCCCCATTTAATTAATCTCGTTATCAAATACAGAAGAAGTTTGTGTTACCATTGAAATAAAAAAGACAAAGAATGAAGATCTAACCACTAAACCCGCATGCGTGGATCATCCCCTTGCTTGTGTCAAAGCTCTGTATCGCGTGGGAGCTCGTGTGAAATCTTTGGATCGTGCCTTAGCTGGAGTTGAAGCTCTGGATCGTCTCCTAGCTCGCGTCAAAGCTCTTGATTGTGTGAAAGCTCTATATCGTGCTCTAGAGCGTGCCCTTGCTCGAGTCGAAGCTCCAGATAGCGTCGAAGTCTTTCTCGCTTCGATCAGGGCTGCTCGATGACTCTTTTGTGTCGATTAGGGCTGTTCGGCGACTCCCTTTCTTTCGATCAGTGACACTCGATGACAGCTTCCTCGTCGCATGCTTTTACAGAGGATGTTGAGAATGATTGCAAGGCAAAGGTAAGATGGTAAGGCCTACAGAACATTGCAACTTGGATTTTGTGTTGCCGCTTTGGATTTTGATTCGATGTTGCTCGATTTTAAATTCTCGTGTCTGGTGTCGAATCGTGGCCAACTGTGCCCTAGAAGTGTCAAATTAATCAGTCAGCTTTGACACGTTTAGTAGAGTGTCAGACACGTATCGGTCTGTGCCAGAGCCATGTCCGTATCCGACGCATGTCCGACATACGACAATTTTTGTTTGGAGGTGTCGGTGCTTCATAAGGTGTTATATATGTAAATACATAGGAATTGAGTGGTATGTGTGTGTAAACTTTGAAGTAATAAGCTCATTGAGAGTGACTCTGTGATATCTTGTATGCTAAGTGGTATAGCTGACACTCCACCTATCAATAATACGTGGACAACTGCCCATGTGTGTTGATGGAAAAGAAAAAAAAAATGAAAAAGAGGAGCACTTTTTAGTTGTGAGGGCATTTAGGTGTTTGGAAAAGCTTTTAAACTGCTTTCAGTTTTAGTGAAAACTGATTTTTTTAATTTTAATTTTCGTTTTTAACACTTTCATTGCCGGTCCAAAGCCCGAATGTGAAAAGTGGAGGATTGCGTTAAGTAGTCGACAGCCAGAGTAGAACTTGTCGAAAAAAAATTATGACATGAATTCTTTTGATTTTTGTGTAAGTGCTAGGGCGTCTCCTGGAAGCGACACGTTGTATAGCCTGAATACAGTGAAGTGTGTGCAAGGGCCGCTACACCGGCGTCCGGTTGTAGTATCAAATAAACAAGGGTTTCCACATTACGGATGAATGTGGTAAAAAAGTTAATCCATAAAACTAATGAAATTAATATTATGATAGGATCTTGGAATATAGGTACTCTCAATGATAATTTAATGTAATTAGTTGATATTATGATTCATAGAAAGATTAATATCTTATGTATTCAAGAAACTAAATGAGTTGGAGGAAAGACTAAGGAGATTGATAACTTCGATTTTAAGCTTTAGTATTTTGGTAAAAGTCGCACTAGAAATTGTGGTGTAATTATAGATAAGAGTTTGAAAGATAATGTTGTAAAAATTAATAGAGTTGGAGATAGAATTATAACCCTTAAGATTATCATTGATACTAAGATTTTTAATATTATAAGT